GGCTACATATCAACCGGAAGGGGGTGAGAGCACATGATCATTGAAACCAATTCACAGGACCATTAAGTAAAATTATGCATATATTGAATGTTTTTCTAGTTTCACTATGCAATGTGTGGTAAACTACACCATCTTTTGGCTTTTGCTTATTAAAGTCAATTAATTGTTAAATTATTTCAATTCGTTAGAGTTTCTGTAACTAAATTTCTCAAGCATTAAGCCTTTTAATATTATTGGTGAACTGAAAATAACTATTGTATATATTTTTGTAATAAGATTATTTTCCCTTCTAGTATCATATCCTCAATAACATCGAAGAAAAGAAAATGTTCAAAAGGCTTAATGTCTAAGATTCTCATTAGTATAAAAAAAAATGATTTCACTGTTTCTTTTTAATTCCATAATATTTATGCAAAGAAATATGAGCGTCGTATTTGTTAACATATTTCATCCTGAGGCCATAAGCTACTGCTAAATGTTTGACTTGGTATAATAAAAAAATCTTTTTGCAATCACAAATCCCATTCATTCATTCATAAACGATCGCATAAAAACCAATCCAAGCAAACCCAAGTGGCGAGGCGAACAGACGCACTCTTTGTGCATGGAAAATTACAACTATTTCACATGTTCACGTGACACTGTCACATGTGTAAACACAAGCTGTGACCCATGCTAGCGCAAACTGTAGTTTCTGCTAATCCGGGAAAAATAGACGGACAAACCGCGACGGGCTTCGAGTTGGTGCGAGCATTAAGTAAAGTTCATAAATAACAGAATTTGTGAAAATCAGCAAAAAATAAATGGAAAAAGTTTCGAACATTTGAAGGTGCCGTGCCCAGTTTGTCTACGGGTTTTAGCTTTTCAGATTCTTCGAAGTCGATCTTGGTGTATTTTTATTTATTTCTATTAAAAACAAAAAAAAAACAATTACTAAAAAATAAAACTAAAAAAAAAAATAAATACCAAAAGTAAAAGCAAGTAAATGAATAAGAATATACACTGAAAGTTGGGAGAAGAGTTCTTCTTCGAATCGGCAAAAGCAACGGCAACGGCAACGACAAAGACATGAGCAAGAGCATAGGCAAAGTCAACGGGAATGGGAATGGGAACGTTACTAGAAATATGTAATATGGAGAAGTAAATGGAGTTGCAGTTGTAATTGTAGCTTAAGTCTAAAACAGAACTTCCAAGAGTATTGGAATTCGTTCTAATCAATGAAAATTGACTTGGTGCGTACAAAGGCGCGTTCAGTGTAATTGCGCATTATTCGCCATAGAGGCTAGCGAAGTATGCAGCAATTATACACCAATGGAACCAAAGTCTAAGAGATATGCACAAAGCAATAAAAGGCGTTGCTCGTTCTATCAAAAGATGTTCTTTCACCCATAACTTATTTATACAGAATTTTAACTCTGCATTCTTACTTTGTCTCCACGTCGCTTTAGTGGTCTTCTGTATTTAATTGAACGCGGTGGGTCTGAAATGTAACTTCAATTAAAGTGTCAAAAGTTGTGCTGGATTTCCAGCGAAAGTGTTACAAATATTGTGCATGCATGTAGACACGCATTTATGCATTCATGCATGAGAATTACCACAGCTGGAAAAATCCACAAGAGCCTCCATGAAAACCACATTTTGTATATTTCTCAGCCAAAACCCAAAAAAACAAAAAAGAAATCAAGTCCCAAAAAAAAAAACAAAAATTCGGCTTAGGCTCTATTTGAGGTCACTGTAGCGCCAAATGCTTTAGCCGCATTTTTAATTCTTTCATAAACCTTATTATATTTATTTTAATTTTTTTCTTTATTTTTCATAACAATCAAGCAGAATTGTTAAGATACAAAAAGCATAAAACTTTAATAAAACATGCATAATCGCAGTTAATCGTGCTGGGCTAACGCAAAAGTAAAACGCACCGTGCACTGCGAAGAGCTCGAGAATGCCACTTTCTTTGGGTGTCAACCCGAGATATGCATAAAAATAATAAATAAAAAATAAAAAATAAAACTTAATCAACAAATTATTTTATTGTTTTATTGAATTTTTAATGCAAAATGAAATGCTTTTTAGCATTGATAAACGTCCACACAAGAGATCTATTGTATAGAAGGTATGCCTTAAACAGATTTCATTTGAATCAGGGCATTATTATTAATACTATTTGGTTACGATAACGATTTTATGATATTAAAATTTTTTTTTATTGATATGCTTAAACTAACAACGTCGGTATCACATATTCATTTATTGTTTAAGAGCGCAATCATTTTTAAGCTTCGTCGAATAATTCAGATACAATTGTAAATTTTCCATTTTTAAATTATAATAGCTTTTCACCGAAAACTGTGAAAATCTGAAATTTTTTGACATTAAGTTATACTTGGTTTAGATTATTAGCATTAATACTCAAAGAGATATATCTGCACCCCAAGATATATTACTGACTTCTTTTCACACTCATAATAAATAGATCTCTGATAGATATATTATAGATTTTGATATATTTAAGCTATATTAAGTTTATTTACTTCAAACCACCAGTTTAGGTTTAAGCATCTGATGTGTAATTGCCCGGTTCTCGCGAGAACTCGACAAAAATACTTGGGGACTTTCAGTTTTGCAGGACTGGAGTACATACCTGAGGATTCTGTTGCAATCTTAATAAATTTTGCTAATGAAACGCGCATCCTACGTGATGCATACAATCGCTAAAACAAGACTCTGATCTGGTATCGCAATGGACCTTAATGGTCTACGCGTGGCCTTTTTGGCCTGCCAGCATAATCTAATCTAACCACCTGTTTTAGAGGTTATCTACGCTTATTAGCACTTGGCGTTAATATGGTTAAGATATATTACTGACTTCTTTTCACACTCATAATAAATAGATCTGTGATAGAGATATTATAGATTTTGATATATTTATGTTATGGTAGGTTACCGTTTTTTATTTAGTAGACTGCGTGTTACTTCAAGCCGTCTGTTTTAGAGTTTAGCTATAAAGGCACTTGGCGTTAACATGATTTTTCCAGATAAATGAATCCGCAAATCTTTCATAAATATGTGAAATTATCACATTATGTAGATAAACTAGCGGACAGGTATTTCTTTTGAGATTGAATGTAACTTTCAATGCATAATTGTGTTGAAGGTTTGCTGGATGTCAAGAAATGCTGCTGTGTAATATTGGCTTTTTCTCATATGTATCTGTTACTATACTAACAATTCGGCGGTACTGCTTATGTGTTCTGTAAACTTTTTTAAACATATATTCACTTCCGAAGTGTGACGAATCTGAAGGCCTATTTGACAAGGTAAGTTGAAAAAGTACAACTACTAACAGTGATGAGAAGGTGTTAGTAGCATTCGAGAGAAGAATTCTTCGCAAGATCGATGGTCCTTTACGCGTTGGCGACAAGTATCAAATTAGATGGAACGATGAGCTGTATGAAATAATCGCGGTATTGACATAATTAAAAGCATAAAAATTGAGCAGCTTCGCTCACTTGGTCATGTCGTGCGAATGAAAGAAAGTGCTCCGGCTAGAAAGGTGTTTGATTCGGTACCCGCCGTTGAAAAACGCAGTAGACGACGTCCGTATTTTCGGTGGAAAGACCAGGTGGCCAATAATTTGAAGGCCGCCTGGTATTATACGGCGCTCGGTATTACCAACTGGAGATAGCAAGCAACTAATCGGGCTGGCTGGCGGAGGCTATTCGACGCTGCCAAGGACGACTCACGTCTGTAATGGCCAACTAAAACAAAACAAAACCAAGTTAAAAAAGTGGAACGCTTCAACTTCGGTAGGTGTTAAGGGAGTTTCATTGGGCTTAAACAGAATGCTTTCGTTTCTATTTCACTACAAAGTCTAGTGAAGCAATTATTATAAGTGCATTTCAGTTGCCAGATTTTCAGTAGAAAAATCAATTTGTACACAGTTCTTAAGGGATATATCTTATAGTTGGATATTTAAGTTGCACGCATTTGAAAGGCAGTAATATATGCGACAATGACTGGTGAATGATCACAAAAAAGATCATCATCCACAGCAAGATTGAAAATCATTATTAACACAGTTTTTAAGGGTTATATCTTATAGTTCAATATAAAGTCACACGTATCTAAAAGTTAGTACTATATGCGACAATGACTGGTGAACAATCACAGCAAAGATCGTCGCTTTTAGTTATGTGCAGGTATTTAATCATACATATCGAAATAGACCATAAAGTAAAGAATTTTACCTATATCAGTAGGGCTATACGTTAGCTTTCGTGTAAAAAGCGTAGGGAACCTATTGTATGAAATACATTTATTATTTATATTCCAGTAATTTTGGATTGATCAGTTTTGAATAAAGGCATTGATCAATTACCGCCATATATATATACTGGTTTAAGTGTTAAAAAGAATCATTCGTTTTAAGATGATTTAAGACTACATACATTATACATTAGTAAAAGTACATTATAGTTACATATAATAATAAGCTAAAGTGCTTACATTCAACTTGTATACTTGTAGTTTTATTTGCAATATCACTATTGTATTCTCACTATTATTTAATTGAGAATATGTCACTCACACAAATAAAATGTTAGAGAAGACCGTGTCCCTGGCGCAGTTACCTATTTTACGAGAGTATTAACTGATATACGTATCTGGAGAAACCGCCTGTATACATCCAAGATGATGCTTATTGTTTATTTTAATATTCATGGCTTAGTGCATCTGAACTCTTTCTTAGGTAACTGGGAATTAACAGATAATGCTATTGAAAATTACTAGTTGTTTGAAATAATCGCCGCTAAATTTAATGAATTCGAGTACTTTTTTAATATTATCAATAACATCTTATGGTTCATTAAAAAAATGTTCGCCTATATCAACTTACATTTTTTTTATATAATTTTCTGTTGTAGTATGCTTTGGATTTAAAAGAAAATATGATCAAATTAAGAAGTTTATGTAAAATGAAATTATTTCTTGTAAAAACCAGATTTTTTTTGTGTTATCAAAATTTAAAGTTAACATGTATGTCGACTTATTTGGCGGGTGCAGTGGAAACCAACAATTCAATGAAGAATTGAATCAATTGGAAGAAATTGTGAACCATGACTCTCCCAGACAAGTAGCACAACAATTTACGAGTTTATTACTCAGTAACAGTCCATCACATGCCAGTGCTGTATCACCGGAAAAACGCAAAAATATTAATAAAAAACTAACAGAAATATTTAGGCAGGAGCCTAGAAGCTGCCGAATGGCGCAGAAGCTATGTAGTCTATTCGAACAAAATGACAGACGAGCTTCAGGGCAAGGTGAAGAAACAGATACACTATATTCTACTTTAGAACACATTTACATGCATGAGACGCCAAATAATCGTTTTCAAAATCAAATGCAGCGCTTTCTAGGATCGAATGAGGGACCAGAATTGAATGACATGCAAATCGCTCAAAATTTGTGTCGCATACTTCATGCTCATATAAAATTTGCTAATGATTTTGGTATGCATTTAAGTCGAATGCATCAAGCCGCCAATTCGACCGATAGAGACCAACATAATTCAGAAGATGATGATCAATTTTTGGGACCAATGGACACTCTAGGGACAAATTGTGAAGGAAATGCGACAATTGAACCGCCCAGTGCTGGAAAATATAAATTTAATATAGCGAAAAACGATTGGATTGAGCCAAAGCAAGTAAAAAAGATTGTTCGTTATACAAAAAGCAAACAACCAAATATAAATCGAAATAGTAAAAAATTTCAGAAAGTAAATAGTGGAAAATATGGTACCGAAATTACTAAAATAAACAACAAAGTTCTTGCAAAGGTTAATCCAAACACCATGCCTAAAAGATTTGGTGGTAATCTAAAACAAGTACAAAAAATGACACCAACATTCACAAAACAGAGTTGTCGCAGTAAGGGCCGGAAAGCTGCTTCATGTAACAGCGATCAGGATAATGTAAGCATTGACTGTGTAACTAAGAATATGCAGGTGAATACACAATTGAGAAACTATAGAATGAACTTGCGAGATGCTAGGTTGAAGACGGCAATAGATGCGTCTGTGACAGCTAGTATTAAAGTGATGTTTCCTAAAATCGATAAAAAAATTCTCGCCAGACCTATTAGAAAAAAATTAATAAAAAAAATTAAAGAAAAGCCTATTCGTTCAAGTAAGCTTTTTGATGGTGTTACGATGATATGTCCTGAAAATCATGAAATACGTAAAACGGTCGTTAAGTCTATTAAAGACAGTCTTAAAAGGAAAAGCAAGTGGTGGTTAGCTCCTTGCTAATCGCTTAGGTTCTATATACATATGAACACAACTCCACGAACTCAACAAAACATCACCAAACACATCAAAAAACGGAGTAAGGATAGAGGTATTTTTCACATTTCTATATAATTCCTACATTCACTTACGAATTTTAAATTGACCATAAATAATAGAAACTTAATGCTTAGAACAACGACAGTGAAGTAAATATCTTTATTTTGTAAAGCTAATAACATAATATTGACAAGAATTTCGAAGAAACGAAGTTGAGTCTCTAAATCTGACATTTACTTATAAAATCTGGTAGAAAAGTAATTTTGAGAAGTACAATGCCCAATAATTTAACGTAAATTATGTCCTTGCCGAGTGTTTGCTTATATACTGAAAACCTGAAGATCCTATTAAACCGAAAGCGATGCGATTAATAAATCTAGTTGGTTGAAGGACCTGCCCTTATAACAAAATGTGCTTTATACGGTAAGACAGATATCCGTTCATGTGGATATTCGTTTAATGGAACATTAACTGCATGTAATGCTTTTTCTTTCTTTCAATTTCTTTTAGTTCACTCCATCTTATAACTAATGGAGAGCTCTTTAGCCCCAGTTTTGGACTGTGGATGAGAATACTTTAAAAGCGGATTGTTTCAATTACTTTGATAAATGTTATGTTTGTTTCACACTAAACATAAACCAAAATTTTAAATTATTTTTTTATATTTGACTAAAATTACGGTTAAATATATTTTCTTATATATATTATTTTGTTCAAAATTTGAATATAAAATGAAAAGTAATTAATAGTAGTGAACTTATTGCATTTTAATTGGCAATTCAATTGCTCTTCTCTATTTATGAACAATATTTAGATATATCCTGTCAGGCCTACTATGTCCTCATCATTACCAAATCCTCTGTGATAATTATCGCATATTAAAGATTTTCCTTATTTACTATCATTTCTTACGACAGAAGAACTAATTGTATAATTGTATATATATTATAAGGAAAAGGTTTTATATTCTTGCCTAAAATCTTTACGATAATTAATAATAATTGTTTATATTCATAATATATGTTTGTATACTAATATAATTAAATTTAATATATTTATTCTTCATTATTTATAACATAGATGATACAATATAATATACCTTAGAGGCGAAAAGATAGTGGATAAATCAAATAATCACTTAAAAAAAATTATGTTGATATTGTAGCTATAGATTTGCTTTATTTAGAATAGATTAGTAATGGAGATAGCGAAGAGGGAATGTTTCAAATGAAATTATGAAATCATAAATGAAACTTAGTCATCAAATTTTTGCCAGAAATTTATAATTAGATTCTTTGTCTTTCACAGTACGCTGGGTAGAATGATGAGAAGTATTGACCAGATAATGACGTCGTATTTGATTAAAGACCACGCAATGAGAGGTTGCGAAATGAAGAGGTGAAATAGAACCTCCGCAGAAGGCGATGACGACTACCTGAGAATATGTAGCCATATAAAAGTGTGTCCGTTTCTTAAATGTCAGAATATATCCATTTGAATATTTGGCGTTTTTGCAGCACAAAAAAGAGCTTTGTACCATTCGGATAAAAGTAACGATTAAGAACTTGGAAGAACTACCGAGACCTTTGTTTCGTTATTTTGTTTATGTGAATATTTATTGTATTATTAAGGTTAACAATTTCAAAAGTTGGCAAAGTAATATAAGTGTTGTTTTCAAGAGGTTTTAGGGATTAGCTCTCCGGTTTATTTCGTTGTAGCGTGCATTAATGACTGGAGATGTATAGTACAGTTAACCTGTGAGAATAGTTTTGACCTAGTCCAAGAATAATCGTGATATTATATTTGGGGTTAAGAATGGTTTGTAGGGCAGACAGCCCATCGGAGAGGTTATTGCATATTTAAAGGCGCTGTAATACCCAATCTTCAGAAGTTAAAAAGCTGAAATGAGAGACAAGAATGAACGTAGTGGCAGTGTCCATATAAGAGCCGTCTTTATAGTCGAAATACTATAATTAATTGAATTCGAAATACTCGATTTGTTCATGGTATGTATGTTGGTATGTTGTTGAAGTGAAGATTAAGGTTAAGTCATATTTGGTCCCAAAGCACTTAGGATATCTTGTGGATTTAATATAGTGAATTATTTTCAACTGCATACAGAATATCGAACAACGGAGTGACGTAAAAACTAATTTGTGTCTGTGTTTGTTTTTAAATGGCAATTTTTAATAAATTGTTGTTACAACCAATATATACGTTATACTTAATGATATAAAGTAAGTAATGTTGGGTAAGAGATGATAAACGGATCACTTAAATCACGATTACATGAATAAAATAAATTTAACGGTGAAGGGAGCAATAAACTTAAGGCTTACTGCCATGTGGTATGGATAGTCCGTTTTTGCTAAATCAAAGAGTAAAATTTGAACAGGATATTAGTGTCAACGTTAAATTGTCCAGAAGGCAATGTAGATATCAGGGGAAACACTTTCTTGACACAAGCCAATGCAACATGAAAGATTACCATTTCTAAAATAAAATTCCAAAGAGCTGTGGCCGATTAAAATATTTTAACCCCATATTATTAAGTAGTAGAGTTAGAAAGGTGCAGTTTGATTTATTGCACCTATAAGAGGATGCACACTTGTTCAGTACTAATACTGTTTTAGAATAATAATTCTAACGATATAATAAATCCAACAGAAACGTTTTTAAAATAAACTTATTGCTGGTGGATGGATGGCTTTTGATTTTCCCTACTTTTAATGCAATAATTTTGTCTTTAAAAAAGCTATTATGACAAGAGTCAGCACTATATAAATATTTTATACTAAACACCTATTTTTTGTATTTCGATTTATCTAATTTATTTATTAAGAAAATTGTTTTAGTTTGCAATGCAATTATCAATAGTGACACGTAACTATGTTGCAAAGAAATATTCAATGACCAAGAAGGACCCTGTATTATTTCTCTATCTTAATTTGGAAACAACATTTTTCAGTGCTAATGAAAATATCTTTTTGCTGATTGATTACCGCAATCTGACCATAACACAGAGTTAGTCTTTGCAAACAAAGAAGCATCTAATTTAACAAAGCACATAATATTGAAGCAGACACGTACCCTCAAGCATATAGAAGTATCTTCAAAAGATCATCAGAACAAACAAAAAATGTTTATTGAAACAAGTAAAGTAATGTTCTTTTATCTGTTTGAAGTAAATTACAATTAAATCCAAAAGAAATTAAATAGAAAATTCAGAAGAAATTAAATCTTGTGCATGTGCTACGTGCTGCACTGTTGTCGATTGGTCTGCACATTCGTGGAAAACGATTGCGTTTAAGAAGTTCAGCACCCAAAACGCTTCGGTAAAGTTCTTGACATGAAAAATGAATCACAGATGTTCATTTTGAGGCCAGTGCACTTGCACTTGAAAGACCTAAGTTATGTGTAACTTGTTGGGCTGATTTTCAGTGAACAATAGAGCGAAGTGTCAAACTATTACTCCAAGGCTCTAATGCAAGCAACAACATACAGAATGTGTGAATAGTACAACGATATATAAAACGAATGTAATATATTCATAAAAGTAGATGGAATGCAAAATGTTTACCTCCACATAAAGATACTTTCTTGAAAAAAATAAATCATTTCATCCACTCAAAGTATATAGCATAAATATGGACTTGTATACAAATTTGTATCAGTTGCGCTAAAACACTGCAATGCTTACAACCATTTTTCAAACACAACAACCCTAGCGTGAAGAACAGAAAACTGATCTATAGTCAGTTAATTAGACCAGAATTATTTTATGGATGTGTCGCGTATAGCAAAGCTGCCGACTCTACTATACAAAAGCTACAAGTCGCTCAATGTCAGGCTCTCCGAAGGCTCTTCAAAGTGCCTTGGTACATCCGCACAAACGACATGCTAAGAGACCTTAGAATAGACCTGATCAAAAAATACATAAGGGACAGAGCCCTGAAGTTATATGCGAAAATTGACAGGCTATCCTACTTACCACTATCTAATCTTAGAGTAATCAGTCTCCGCACGGGGAGGTACGCAAATCTCAGATCAATCACTGAATAATCATGAAGCTTATAAGAAATACATAAATTAGTCAATGAGATGGGTTCATTAAACGATTTGAAAGTTTCAGTATTAATTGTTCTTCGCCATGTTGTCGTTGGCTTGCCTCTGGGCCGAGTTCCCTGGGGATTCTTTATTAGCGCTGTGTGCGGGATATCGTCACAAGGCTTATGCTGGGTGTGACCTATCCACCCATATTTTCGCTTTGGAGTTTCAACATTAATAGACGTTTGGTCAGTTTGCCTCCATAGTTCTTCATTTGATATCGTCGCTACCATATTTTCATTATGTTTCGCAAGAATCGGTTGCTGAAAGTTTTTAGTGTCTTTTTAATCTCCTCCATTACAAACCAAGTCTCTGATCCGTATAACAAGACAGATTTAAAGCATGCATTATTTTTTTTTTTTTGTGTTTGTGCAGATGTTGTGTGCATGACATATATTTTGTAGCCTTCCGAACGCTCCTCTTGCTTTTTGTCTTCAATGGCTTATGTCCTATAAATAAAGCTCTCCATGTTATTCACATCTTCGCTGCCAATTGTGAAGTAGGCTGTATTATTGAATTTTATGCGTATAGATTTAATTTTTCTTATATTTATTTTAAGACGTGTCATTCCTTATAAATCCAAAGGTAATAGATATTAATATTGTAAATTATAAGCGTTTTTATAATTGGGTTTTATGATCTTTATTTCAATTTCTTTAACACAATGTAAATTATAAACGTTTTTATAATTGGGTTTTGATTTCATTTAATTTATACAATTGAATTTATACAATTTCGGTTATTGATTGTTTAATCACTTTTTTATGTGTACCCGTGTGTTGACACGTTCGCGATCGAAAAACAAGAGACAGCATCAAACCAACGGAGTTTACTTGCAGCCCAAAAAATATAACAAAAAAATTGCTCATCTCGAGCGCAAAAACAAAAGGCAATAAAAACAAGACTTAGAACCGTTGGTTTGATTACATCTTATACAGGGTTAGTTAGATAAATTAATTAACCATATATATTAACCATATAAAATATTATATATGAATTATATAATATATTAATTATAATAATTTAATTATACAATATATGATTTAAAATAGATTAAAATATAATATATAAATCATATAACACATCAATTATAATAATTCTACAGAATCCTACAATATTAACAATTTGACTTTAACCGCTCTAACATCCCGCCCCCCTTGAAAGGATTTTCAATTGGTAATAGTGCGAGTTTGTGGATTGGACGCCGTATTACTCCTTTTGGGGTTTGCACATCAACAACACGAACCAAATTATCTGGACCCCTGATGCAATGCACGATTCGGCCCATCAACCAGCGTTGTGGAGGCATATTGTCTTCATGGATTAAAACCAGAGCCCCCTCGGTGATGTTAGATTGTTCTTCTGTCCATTTGGTGCGTATCTGCAGCTCATTCAGATAGTCTCTAGACCATCTGCGCCAGAAGTGATGTTTGACTGCGGTTATACGAGACCATTTATCAATTAATGAAGCAGATTCATACTGAGGACTTGGTTCAGATAAAGTTTTGAGCGGCCCACCGATAAGAAAATGTGCTGGCGTTAGCGCTTCATAA